CACCCACACCCCACACCCCACCCACACCCACACCCACACCCACACCCTTTTTAGTCTTGTTTACTTCCTGATGAACTTTATTAATAAATAAAGAGAAACCGGTCGAAAACAAACAATTCTTTTACTATCCATAAAAACAAAAACAAAAACAATAACACCTATTTATCAAGTTAGTTTATTACACTAACAATTGTTTCACACTTAAGACTTGACACTGCTCTTCCAATTACATCTTATTGTCAATTTCACATCCTAACGTTTTTGTTTTTTCGATTCAGTCCGATGACATCCATGATCCTGAGGTCTTTTTCTAGTTGGCATCGATGATTCTGCGTTCGCTTGTTTCCGTTCGTTTGCTTTACCACGTTTAGCTGAAACAAACAAAACTTACTAAATACTACTTATGTAGTCAACATTACTGACCTGGAGCTATACAATGTGAAATGCATGATTTTAATTCTTTTTCATCGACACACAGTTGAACAACCAAATGATAATTGTTGAAATCGATATCGTGATTGTTATCAGTTGGGACTCTGCTATCATTTGACGATAAAAACTTGTTTGTTTTAGAATCGTACAAATGCTTTAGTTGTTTATGTTTAGCATGAACTACATTATTTTCATTGACAACACATACCAATAGTCTACGAATAAAGGAAAATCTGTTAACCTATATGATGCCCGTTGTAGATGTAAAACATTGGGTAATTACTGATATTAATCATCAGGAAACTGTTTTATTCTATATATATCTCGTAACATATTTCTCCAGTTTCTCTGTAGTTATTCTTGTGAGATGTAGTAATAAAACAGTCTATATATTATAACAAAACGTTGTTGATATAGAATCTCTAATTGAATATTAAAAAATTTCGTCGAGTTCTATGATTACTATTGACTAGGATATGTGATAGTTCACATTGAAGTTTGATGAGTAAATGTTGGAGAAGGCAATTAAAATTTCTCACTAGTCATGTTAAACTATGTATCCAACAATGAATTCATTATCGGTAATTTGATAACTAAACACTAACCTATTACTTCCAAGAAATTGTCGCACTTACTGACTGATGTTCATCAAAGTATGTACAAAGAAAACGAACTAAATTTTTGTCAAAATGTTTAATAAAATATTTAAGGAAAATAACTTGAGTTGCTCTTTATATGTCTGTAAAGACCAATTACAAAATTAATCTTACGTATAATGTTCCTTTGACACATCTTCTGGTGTTAATTCAATTCTGATTGAATCGAGCAATTTATATGATCCGTCGTTTTTAAGTAGTAAAAATTTTTTTGTCAACTGTTTGCAATGTATGGTACTTTGTGGAACCCTTTCTGTAACCGGATACAATTTCAGTGACCAAGAGTGTTTCCGATATCCTTCATCAATGTTCCACTAAAGTATAAATTGCAAAATGTATGTAGATAATAGAAGTCAACTCATTTATATCATACGGATAATTTTGGATGACTAGTCTTATCTTTATCATGACGTGCTCCTTTAACCCAAAGACGCGTTGGGGACTTCGGCCTAAATCAAAGTTAACTAAGATTTTAAACAGCTATTTTTTTCGATTGTAAAATACTTACTTTTCTGGATTTGAAGACTTCAACGCTTCGCACCATGCATAAAGAGTTCTTTGGGAAGAAAGTACATTCTCATGAAATTTAAATTGAACTTCATTTTTTAAAACATTTAAAGTTTCTTCTAAAGAAAATAGAACATTTTAATGGATCTTTCGGATTATTTATTTTCATTTTCCTGTCTATTTATACTCACCAGTTATAGAAGTCTTATGTGGAATGTTAATTGACATTGCTAAAAAGTGACAAATAAATTAAACGTTAAAAACTTATAATCCTCACATATACTTTTCTTACTCGATATATGTTCTTCACTAAAACTATCAAGTGTTATTGTTTTATTCAGATCAGATCGTGCATAGCACAGAAGATAGACTGATTCTGTTTTGTCAAATCTGAAAACAACTTTTTTAAACAACTTATCATTTGCTTCATACCAATTATTAGTAATTTCATCTTTGACGTAACAAATATAATGACCATTCTCCATATCATTACCATTATGAATAACGACAGCGAAAAGATGATAAACTTTCTTTTCATCAGAAATAGTATTCAAATGATCTTTACTCAACCATTCATCAAGTTTTAATTCTTCTATATATTTAATTTTAGAATGCAATTTTTCTTCACCATTTGCTTTATATCGTTTTAGCGAAATAAATAAAACTAATGGTGTAGAATACATATACGTTGTAATTATAGGATTTGGTTTAGGGTCGCACTTATTACAATGATATGGATTATCACCCGTCAGCCTCTGCTCTCCAAAATATGTCTTTAAACAATCCGTTAAACTTTTATTTGTTTCGGTCACCGGGCATTCAAGAATCTTTTGAGGTTCGAGGCGATCAGAATATTTTGAGTTGCATCCTTTACAAGAAATGACACATTGAGTATCGAATTGAAAAAATTTGGATAAAATTGATGATTCATCGGCATTATTCAACAAACTTAATAATAATTCATTGCAATCTTGTTGGGTATTTTTGTTGAATTCTGATGATAATGATTTCAATGTGGTGAACAAACGTTCTTCGTTAAATGATAGATAATTTTTGCATTTGGTTTGGTCACGCATTCCAATTAAAACGTCGGCAATGAGACAGAGAGAGCAATTAGACGTTCGTCTACCTAAAAAATTATTTTAGTTAAGTCTCATTTTATCATTCTGCTTTCAATTTAAATTAGAGAGATTTTTTAAAATGAAATTTTTTCATGTAAAAGCTACGTTACTTAATCCATTTAGGAAGCATTTAATAAGCTTTATTTTAGCATCAATCTCTATCTCTTTAGATTATATCAAGAACGTCAGATAGACAAAAATGAACATGCTTACATGTCTTACGATGATTCTTTTTGAGAATCCAATCCTTAAATACTGGTGTATGAGCTAAGACTTGTAAAATCACATTAAAATAGCAAGTATTTCCCATATTTTCTAAACCACATTGAATTGATAATGAACTGGATTCGTCTAGAAAACAATACGATAAATAATATTATTAAATAAACACTGGAATACAACTACATGATTTTTATATGGTAATTAACCATGTTCAATAAAAGACTTGAGTTTTCTCTTCCTTTCATATGCTCAAACCTACATGAACTGCACCGATATTAGTTTTCAATATGATACTAATTGTAGTGTTTCTAGCTGACGTCTTCATGAATTATATATAATATTTCGAAAGTAAAATTTATCAGACATCGAACGAAATGTTAAAATAACTAAAGCAGTGGTTATTTTCACGATACAATAATCGTCTACTCAGTGTTAGTAGCCAAAATCCGAGGGTATACTCTATGTAGACGATGATTTATAATCGAATAAATGCGGAAACTTCGGATTTAAATCCGAGAGTTATGTGTACTCTAAAAAGTGAATCATACAAATCAATCATCCTAGACTGTCTGAATATCAAAATTATACTGTGAAATCTACCATTTAAAATGTTGATTTATATTGCGGGTTGCCAAATCAATAGGATTTGAGACCGAATTAAGCTCAGATTTCAACTCTTCTCTCTAACTTACCCTCAGAAAGTAGGTTTTCCTATAATTTCATTTCTATTGGTCACTAAACAACTAATAGTATTTCGATGGAAGTTCAGTACACATTCGAATTCTCCATCTCTGAAAACCTCGGAGTACCATCACTATGATCGGAAGATTGAGATCTCTTTGTGGATCAATTAGATCATGGACCAAAATCTAACCTAGTTTTCTTTAATTATCCTTCTCCTATGTAAGTCATCCCTCTTGTTTCTTTATGTTTTATATATCAGTTTGTAGCTCTTCAAATTCTCTATTGAATGATATATAATAGTTCGTCTTTTGATTGACTATGATAGGAAAAGTCTTTTACGGCAGCCGCGATGGGTCCATTTTTCCACAGAAAGCTATACGGAAAAATAACTATTTTTGCATTAACTCAGGAACGGCTTGGTCGATCCTTCTCATCTTCGAACTTGATTGAGATATTGTTAAGACTAAGCTATGTAGAAAGTTTCATCGCAATCTGACTCTGCTGTCAAAAGTTATCATGTAAACAGCCAACCGAACGGACGGACACAGTGACTATTCTACAGTGTACTACTACCTTTTTGAGTACACAAAACTATTATTCAGTTCAAAACTAATATTAGATTCAGAATCAGCGTTAAAAACTG